ATATATATATATATATATATATATAATATATATATTATATATATGTGTGTGTGTGTGTGTGTGTGTGTGTGTGTGTGTGTGTGTGTGTGTGTGTTGTGTGTGTGTGTGTGTGTGTGTGTGTGTGTATGTATGCATATATATATACATATATACATATGTATATATATATATATATATTTATATATATATATACATATATATATATACATATATATATATATATATATAATATATATATATATATATATATATATATGTATATATATAGATATATACACATATATAGATATACATACATATGTATATATATATATATATATATATATATATATATTATATATATATATATATATACATACATATATGACACATACACACACACACACATACGCACACACTCTCTCTCTCTCTCTCTCTCTCTCTCTCTCTCTCTCTCTCTCTCTCTCTCTCTCTCTCTCTCTCTCTCTCTCTCTCTCTCTCTCTAGTATATATATATATATTATATATATATATATATATATATATATATATATATATATATATATATATATATATATATGTATATATATACATTCTCGATAATATGAAGAAAGCTTCCCTCCACGAGATCAGCGGGAATACCTCCCCGTCATTTCCAAGAGCCTTCCCTTCCCCTCCGCGCGGGCGACGCGGGCCAGCCTTCACTTCTCGTTAGCGCGTATCTGCGACGCGTCACTCGATCGCCCCGAGTCGAAATCAGGCTTCGGGACGACACCACTTTTGGCTTGATGGAATTCCCGGGACTGCCCGCTGGCGCCGACCCGGCCGCGTGCGATCAACCCGCTGTCGGGTATCGTTAGTGTTGGAGGTTTAACAAAATGTTGTTTTGATTCAGTTATCTCCCTCCACAGATACGTTTCCTGGCAAACAAAGTCACATCGTCTACGACCCCCCACCCACCCCCACCCCACAAAAATCAAAGCACATGCATATACATATATGTCATCATTATTATTACTATCATTATCATCATTACTTTTATTACCTCCAGCAAGGAGGTTATGTTTTAGGTAACGCTGGTTTGTGGGTCAGCAGGATAACAAAAACTTTTTCTCTGAAATTTCTACCAGACATTGTTTCTTAGTCTTTAGATGCCATTAAATTTTGGTGGTGATCCGGATCATGATCCTCATTGTCCTTGAGGAAGAGGTGATTCTAACGTTTCTTCAAGTGTGGAGACATTGCATCAGTGACCCTATTGCCTTCCCGGATATAGGCTTCGAATTATTAATATCATTATTATTTACATTATCATTTTTGTCATTATTATTATGATAATAATAATAATTATTATTGTTACTATTATCATTATTATTATTATTATATTATTATTATTATTATCATTATTATTATCATTATTATCATCATCATATTTGTTATCATTACTCTTTTTATCATTATTGATATTATTATTGTTATTGTTATTATTATCATTATTGTTATTGTTTTTGATTTAACTATTATCATTATGGTAACAATAATAATAATGATAATAATGGTAATAGAATGATTATGATAATAATAATGATAACAATATTAGTATCACTGTTATCATTATTATCATTATTAATGCTATCATTGTTTTTTCATTATCTTTTTTATTTGCTATTATTACTATAAGTTTTATCATTCCTATTATTATCATTACTTTTATCCTTATTACCATTATAATAAGAAAATCAATAATAATAACATTGATCATAAAATTGACAATAGTCATAATAAGGGTAATACAAAGATTATTATAACCATTTCCATTATTGTTACCATTAATAACATCATTATTTTTCTTATCATTAGCATTATTACTGTCCTCATAATTATAGTTATAATTATTATTTTCATCATCATAATCATCATTATTAGTTTTATTACAATTTTCTTTGTTAAAATATCATTATCTTTACTATTATTGTTCTCTTTATTTTTGTTAAAAATATCATTATATTTACTATTATTGTTATTATCATTATCGTCATTGTTATTATTATCATTACAATTATAACTGTTCTGTAAATAATCTTTATTCTTATAATTATCATTAACATTATCAATATGATCATGATGATGATGATAATTATTATTATTGTTATCATTATCATTATTACCAATTTTATTATGATTATTGCCATTATTATAATCATTGTTATTACTGTAACGAGGATCATTATCAATATCATTAATTTATCATTTTTATCATCATTATTTACTTTCCTATCTATATTCTTGAGAATATATCAGCTTTTATAGTTGTTATTCATCATCAGCGTTAATATTTTTCATTATCATTATTTATTACTATTATTATTTTCAATATTATTACTATTATCTTTATTGTTATCATTTTCAATCATCATTACTGTTATTATTGTTGCAATTGTCTTTATAATCATTACTCTATTTATTATTATTACTACTATCTTTCTTATTATTATCTTAATTATTTTTTTTTACCATAATC